TTTCTTGCAGTGTCACTGACTTCTTCTGTGCCATAATGGCCAAAGCCTGCTGTTCAGGCAGTGGAACATTGTGAAGTGCTAACAAAATCTGGTCATGTAGGAAGGGCATTCCTTTTACCTGAATTTGAACAGGCTTGTATGCATAAGCTGTACTGCTTCAGCCATTCCAACACAAACTGGCATTGTCAACCTGGAGAGGACATATAGGGTAGGCATTTATGCTGCACTGAAGAGCACTGAAAAAGAAATACCTCTATTAGCTTTGTAGGTTATCCCTATGTATCTTTTCACTGCCAAAACAGAAAAATAACTCCTGAATGACTTACCTACAGTAACAGTGACTTCTGTTTGCAGAATAGATACCTGGTGAGCTCATATCTTGGAGGTCTGAGAGTTACAAGACAATGCTGGAAAACTAGCAGACCTGAGAGATCCTCACCGTGCCAACAAAACCTCACCAGCTGTCTATATTGTTCAGAAATAAGGCTATCTCCTACCTAGAAACTCAAAGCTTTAACTCATCATGCCCTGCTTCTGAATGTCAGTGTTCAGGAGTGGAACTCTTCAGGAGAAATAGACTCATAGAATCATTAAGGTTGGAAAAGACCACTAAGATCAGCTAGTCCAGCCATCAACCCATCACCACCATGCCCAGTACCATATCTCTCACTGCCATGTCTACATATTTGTTAAAAACTCCAGACAATGATTCTACCACCACCCTGGGCAGCCAGAAAAGCCAGTTCTTGATTCCAAAGCACTACTACTTATTGAAAGAAAAGTGAGTGATTATTCTGAGTAGGTGACAAATCCAAAAGCAACAAGAAAAAAGAAAGAAAACTAATAATAAAGCTCAGCAGTTCACTCAACAAATGTCCTAGAAGGCTTACTGAGATTAGATGACGAATGCACGAACTTTTTTTTGATCCTGTACTTATTTCAACCTCTAGTTCAACTCTAAGCTCTTCTTACTAACCCATAATATGGCTGTTTATTTAGTGTTGTCTGTAAGGCTAAAAGGCATTTGATGGTGGATAAAAGATTGAATGAAAAATTCAAGAGATAGCAAACTGAGAGAAGAATTCACCAAGTGAATCACTTTGAGAACAGCGAGCCTTCCAGCTAGCACAAGACTCCTTCTGTCCATATACCTGAAGGTCTAATGTAGCTGGTCATGACTGCGAAACATTGACTATGGAGGGATTCTGACTTGCAGAGGTTCAGTACCAGGAGTTGGAGGGGAAAGAAAACCACATGGTCTACTCTTCTACAGCACCACTGTCCAGCTTAAACAGACTTAATAAATATATTTCTCCAAGTTTTCAGCTGGTCTTGCTAGCTTGCTTCATTGACTTCATAGTGGAGTTATCCCAGCCTACAGTAGCTGAGGATATAGCCCACCAGATTACACATTGCCATGTGAAAATGCTTAGTGGTACAGTTTATTTTCTCATTTGTAGACCCTGCCAACTGGCACAGCCCTCCTATGTCTTTCTTCATTTGCTGTCCTCAAAAAACATCTTTTGTGTTGTCTGCAGACATTTCACTTTTCCCTTGCCAAATATTAGCTTTCTGACTGAACACTTCCTTTGATTCCTTTTGAAATATCTTCACAACTTTACCTTTCTCCCAACACAATGCCCTTTGATTTCTATTAAGCAGTGTTGTATTGTTTTTACGTGCAGTATGAGTTAAAAGAAAACAAGTTCATTTTTGCAAACATTTATGCAGCAAATGAGTTCCAGTGGTTATAAATAATAAAGAAAAACTAAATAATGCACTCCTTCCTGTGAGTCATATGTAGGTTGGCTACTTTTCTGAATTCTCCTCCTAAAAAAAGAATTTTGCCTTCACTGAGAAGACAAAAGCATGTTGTCCTATGAAGGCACCTCAGAGCTATACAGTAACGTGTGAAAAATCATGGCTGTGCCAGAATAAGGTGTTGAAACTGCAAACACTTGTGACAGATACAGAAGGTAGTCTCCCAATGATGCTTGTAGGTCAGTCCACCCCACAAAGGCTTGTGCCCCTCTAATGAGGGCTGAAATCAGCTCCTTTAATGAATAGATAGATGATGTTGTTCCTAATGATCTAGGTGCAAAAGTGCAGGAACACTCCTGGGCTCACTGTCCACTCTCCATTCTCTTTGACTTAAGGGACATTTAAGGTTGCCCGCTCCTTTCAAGACACAGTGGCTTTTAGCTTTTAACCTTCAGGTTTTGGACTTTAGGGCTGACAAAATGCTAGATTATAGCCTTACTCCTTCAGAATGAACGCTAACCTGCCCACCCCCTCCCCATAGGCACGCTGATGTCAGTGGGGGGACCTAAGAACTAATATTCCCTTTGCTGTGATTGAGGGTACTAGATTCTGATGTGAAATTACATCAGAAATATTTTCTTCTGCGCTTCTGTTTTTCCCATCTGTGTTCTGTGATCTAAGGAAACTGAAAAAGCTTTTCTATCATATAAACACTATCTTACCTCAACCAGTGATGCATAGGGTACCCATACCAAACTACAACCTGACCTTCAGCAAGCCTGCAATAACTGACTCTCATGGCTGTATTCTCATGGCTTCCAGGATCTTGTATTCTACTCTGGAAAGACAGGTTGGACAAATAATGGTCATTCTGCCAAAGATCATTCATTTATTTATTGTTCCTGGAACATCCAATCATCCTGAAAGACTTCTTCCAGGACTCCTGAAAGAAGGCAACTTTACTGGTGTGGCTATGCCGTGTTCTACCTCAGGTACAGCAGCTCTTTGGAAAGATGTAACTCACTGGTCATGTCAGTCAGTACTGTTTGCTGCTCCCTGTCTGATCTTTTCTGCTTTTTGGGTCTATTGTCCCCCCCAGGAACAATATGGGAATGACCACAGGTCCCTATCCATGACCAGAGTGCCATGGTACAGGGCAGTGAATCAACAGTCAATTCTCAGACAGCTTCACAGCACTGCTCTGACCAGAGATGGTAAGGCCCAGCACAGGGAATTACTTGAACCTTCCACTCCCATGGCAGTGGTGGTTGGTCCTCAAGGTGTTTTAAGACCAGGCCCATTTCTAGGATATTATGTAAGGCTTGGATCACTTAGTGTGAATAAACAGTGACTCAAAAATAAACTGTGAATGTGGTGTGCGGGGGTAGATGACTTCTAGCAGCAAACAAAGCAGACTTTAGATATTGAGACAAGGTGTTTCTCCCCTGGAGGATGTCATTTGATTCAGCCTACGCTGGTTAAACTTTTAGAGAAGACAAAATATACTGCAAAAGATTAAGAGCTAAAAAAACATTTAAGCACAAAAGCAGGGATGGCGTTGAGGCCATACAGAGAGAGCACTTCTTTTTTGCTTGTAAACACAGCACTGGTAGTTTAACTGAATGAAATGGAAACAAGTGCATAATTATAGAATCATAGAATCATAGAATCACCAAGGTTGGAAAAGACCTGAAAGATCATCCAGTCCAACCGTTCACCTATTCCCAATAGCTCCTACTAAACCATGTCCCTCAACACAACATCCAGCCTTTCCTTGAACACCCCCAGGGTCGGTGACTCCACCACCTCCCTGGGCATCCGTTCCAGTGCCTGACCACCCTTTCTGAAAAGTAATACTTCCTCATGTCCTCCTAATGAAGAAGGAGGAGCTGGGGCTGACTTTGGTGACTTCCTAATAACTGCCTGGCAAGCTGGCATAGCTGATCACTAAATGCCGTCAATCTTTTTCAGACCACAGTCAAGGAGTAAAGAGGACACAGTTCACTCAGTTGGGCATGCTTGCAGAGCTCTGAATGCTTGAGGCTTTCCAAAAAACACTGCTTTTCCTCTTCTCATCTCAGCATCTTTTCACCTCTGTTTTCTTCTAGACTCTGAAATTTATTTGCCAGTCTAGTTCTTACTAACTTCACAGTGTTAACCAAGAAGCAGAACTTCAGCTAGTTTTTATTTTATTTATTTAGTTATTTTAACGTAGAGGAAATACATTCTAAGGATTTCTGGTAGTTTTTGATCTCTTCCTTCCAATGCTGAACGTTGTACTGGGTGAAACACAAAAACAAAAAAACAGAAAAAAAAAAAAAAAAAAAAAAAATCAACCAGAAAAAAACCCACAACAAATCTGCCTTGGGAAAAAAAATCAGTATTGGCTGGCCCTGTGCCTTGATCCTATGACATATTTCACCTCCATTTGAGGTGATATTCCATCTGAGTATCTTGTGATTGGAAGACTCATGGAAATGCAATCAAATTATTTTAGTGTATATGCAATTCACACTCTTATAGCCAGCTATGGGCATCCCACAGAAATAAATCAAATAAATCTGTACAATGGGAGAAATTCATTTTGCTCCGAAGATATGCAGAGCTGACAAAATATGTCTGAGACCTCTACTAAATTAATGTATCATGCATAGCAAAGAGCTTGGAGAAACAGTAACAATCAATACATTGAAGACAAAATATCCAAACCAGAGTGGTAAATTTAAGTGTCCCTAAAGCCACTTTACTTATGCAGCAAGTCTGACAGGCCTGTAGAGCTTTTATGGATGCAGCCTTGTCATACCTGAGATTTTCACAACCTTCCTTAACAGGCTTACTGTAAGATCAGGAAGATGTCAGTAAAGGGAAGAACAGGAGAGTGCTTCCAAGGAAAGGTGGAAGGCAGTCCCATCTTATATCCTACCAAGCTGCTGTGGACTTTCAGTTTGAAATATACAGCCTCACTCCCAGTCATGAATATGTGTGCATCTGAATGTTTCAGAAGACCTACAAGCTCACCTTACTGGAGTTGCATAGCTCTAGCTTGCTGTATGATTCTTGAAACACTGGTCAGCTTGTTTTGCAAGTAAAACACATAGAATCACCATATGGAATTTAAATTTCCACTAAAGAACAAAAATGCACCTACCCATTGTGGTTGTTCAGTAAATCTCCCTAGCAGGACCCAACTGTGCAGTGTTTCCTTTCTTGAGCCTGAAAAGAGCCTGAAACGATACCCATCAGAGAGGTAAACTGCCCAAACTGCTTGTTTCAATTCAGGCTTTGACTCAAAACCCTATTGACACCATTATAGCTGTCAACATTTGATACACAATACACAAATATATTTTAGCAGATGGAGAGGAATGGAAATAAAGCCAATATGCCGTTGAGGCTCGGTTCAGAATTACTGGGAGGAAGAGAACTGGAAGAGGAGGGGTGCCAAGAAGGAAGTAGAGCAGAAACAGGGAAAGGAAGATAGGAAGGGAGGAAAAATCACTGCCGCCCAGTTCTGCTGAATCAAGCACTGAGGAGTAAAAGAAAAATAAACAAAGCTTTTCTTGCTGCAGCAAACGATTAAGCCTTGCTTTTGCTCTTTGTATGAAGCTCCCTCTGAGATTAGCAAGTGTAGACAAAAGGCGATGTGTTTGCTTAGATTCACACCACAGCCCCTTCTTCACTGCTGCATGGAGTTTGTTCTCCTCCACAGGATGAACGGGATGTCCCTAATGTCACCAACAGCTCAGATAAAACAGCCTGCTAACCAGCCATTTTGAATTAATAAGAGTAATCCACATTATAAATCCAATAGCTCTATGGAAGTTACAAAATGGCACTAAAGTTTTGATAGGGTTTTGTTGTAACTAAAAATTATGGTCCTAGATTAAACAGATGTGTGATGCCACCATTCATCACTCTGTGAAGGAATGAGTACCTTTTTAAAAAAACTCAGTTACACAGCAGAAACACATATAGTAGGGACAAACTGACAGCAAAATAGTCCTTCCAGCCTGCAAATGGAAACCATATCTCTAGAATCTAATAGAATGACAACTGGATTTCTAGAGTCTGATAAAAAGATATCGGAAGCCAAGGAGGAGAGTAGATGTGTGAGCAAAAGGTAAACTTCAGATTTTGCAGTTGAGGGACCAGGATACCAAGAACTTACAGTTCAACATGTGTAAAACAGGCCCATAATGTGATTTTCAGTACCCCTAGACATTTTCTAAAGAAGAACCTCTACGAATTCTCTACCTATCTTCTGTTCCTACAGTATTTATGAACTGAACATGCGCACTTCTTTTCTTAGACAAAGGTGATTTTTCACAAATTGTCTGCATTTAAAGGACAAGTATATCAATTCACAACATTCACTATTCTTGTGCTTTTCTTTCTTTCTCCAAGTACAAAAGAAGAATCAAAATTTAATATTCAACAGTCAACTTTTTTAGGGGATCCTTTTTCATGACATCTTTTATGTTTCAGAGCTTTGGTAGCTCCATTTTTATAGCGCAAACTGGTTTGCCTACTTTTGGTCTCAGATTCCTGTGCACAAGCATAAGTCTGACAAACTTAATTTGTGTTAAGAAATAATTTTATGTTGTCATAGAAACCTGTGCAAGATGATCCAGGCATGAGCAAAAATGTAACAAAGGTACACTGACTGGTGCTTCTGCCAATGAAATTCCCCTTGTTTGTGTCCCACTAGTAATTTCCCCACATCCTATGGCAAAAAGGGCAAAAGGATCTCATCTTCACAGAATCACAGAATCACAGAATCATAAGGGTTGGAAGGGACCTCCAGAGATCATCGAGTCCAACCTCCCTCCCAGAGCAGGTTCCCTACAGCAGGTCACACAAGTAGGCATCCAGGCAGGTCTTGAACATCTCCAGAGAAGGAGACTCCACCACCTCCCTGGGCAGCCAACCTCCCTGGCCATCTCATCTTGTCTGCTGAGAGGAACAATTTGCCTGAAGAGTGACTGCAGTGCCTTAAGGAGGCCACACTTCCCTGTCCAAAAGAGCGTTTGTAGCCAGTACAGTTATGCCATGGGGAGAAAATTAATGTTTTCTTTCAAAAAAGAAACAAAACTGCAATAGAAATCCCCAAAACTAATTGCAGAGACCTCCATGATACCACAGAAAGAAGAGAATGCCTTGCTTCCATTATGCCAGGGGTCTGCTTCCATCAGCAGGAGTGAATTATGCCCACATCTTAATGTTTGCACAGCTCTTGTCATCCAGAAACAAGTTTTATTTCCATCAGAGAATACATCTAATGAATGGAACAGTAACAGGGAGAAAAAGAATCAATGAACATTGGTCATCATGACAAGTTTGTGTCCAGTTGCTTCACCCAGCATGCCTTGCCATCCTAATGACTCCCTACCTGATATCAATGGACACTTTTGGAAATTTCTGGGCAACGAGAGCACCGAAACTGTGCTGCAACACCTGCACTCAACCTCGGCCATCAGAGACATTTACAGCCAAGACTTGCGACAGCAGTGAATACCTCTTATCCTTGCCACTGCTGCCATCAGACTGACTCAACTAGATTCTTTCCCAGGGGAAATCTCGGTACATCTGCTAGCGCTGATTTGGCTTTCAAAAGGCTTTCAGCTAAAAGGTTATTGCTGTGGCTCCATGGCCTTTCAAAGGGCAAAAGGGCAAAAATATTACTGCAAAAAAGTCAGAAAATCTGTAACATTTTGTGCAGACTTGGGAGTCCCTCTAAGCAATGACTGGAAGAAGAGCAAAAGGATTCCCGTCCACAGTGCTCCTCTGGTGCAATTAGTACTGGAAACACTCCAAAAAGACAAGGACATGGATACATTACAGCTTCTTTTTGCCCCTAATGCTAATTAGTTGCAATATGTCAATAATTAGAACAGAGTTTAGTGAACAAATATTACCTCTTTTTCTGATGCTGTATAGTCCAGAAATTTTATTTTTCCCTTATTATTTATCATTTGAAAATATTTCCCAATAATGTCTCCAAGACCTTTTTGATTTGAAGCTTGCTCACGTGCCTTTTGCAAGTGTTAGAGACAGAGACAGGTCTGGCATCGCTTCTGATTCTTGATACGGTGAAAGCAGATTTTAGTGCTGGGTGTGCCACTGAATTCCAAACTGATATTTTCCAGCGTTCTCTGTAAAATGCATTTTTGTGGGCTATCTGTGCAGCTTTACCTTTGCTAATAAAGAAAAAGAAAGTCAGAACACAAGGGACAGGAAGACAGCTGAAGTATACTAGTGTAATGATTTATGCAGATATTGGTAGGCATTTTTGACAGGAGTCTAGTTACAAGAATCTGAATAGAAAGCCTGATTATTTCCTTCTTTTTTCAAGAAAAAGGTGAATAGGGGATGGAAAATGAACATAATTTAATTACTGTTGTTATTATTGCTGTTAGATTGTAACTGCCTATCTGCCACTTCCCCCCTATGTGCATATATACACATCTCTTTTTATGTTCACTGCCTGTCCATAGCTTCTCTTATATATGCATCTCGTTATGTCTCATTATCACATCTCATTCCCATGCTCTTTATAGTGCAAAACAAGGTGTGTATTTGGCTATGAAAATGCTGGAGGGGGTGTGTGCATTTTGCATGGGAGATGCTGCATTATCATGTCAATCATTTCTCCTTCTCTTTCTTAGGCTTTGCAGATGAATCCTGGATGTGCCCCAGCTGGAATTCCGCTGGCACTGGAGAAGCTCAGATTTAGACACCACATTCTCAGCCCAGGTCCACTGGCTGTGATTCATATCCTGTTATCAAACAGGGACCCAACGCTTTCTTTCCAACATGCTGAAAATCTGGTTTAGAGATAAGCACATTATGTGGGTTGCTAGGAAAGGATTGTCTTTGCCAGTTGAACCTCTACTCTGAGATCTCTTTTTTTCCTTTCCCCATAGGAAAGGCTGCTGCCTATTGTCCAGTCCAGCTACTGGAAAATGGGTAGAGGGGGACCACAGGGATCTAGCTCATTATTATGCACCCACTGATGCTGGCTGGGCATGCAGCTTCTACATGTCCCCCAGGCTCTTGCAGCAGCCTGTGCTCCATCAGTGTGGATACGCTCAACTTTACCATACAAATGAAGGGACACCCCAGCCTTGCAGCTGCAAGGAGGGGCAGTATCTTTAAAAAGCAGGTGTAAGCACAGCACAAAAAAACAATTTCAGGGAGCTTATGCACCAGTTAAAATTCATACTGGTCAGGCTGGATAACACATATCACCATACACTAAAAAGAATTCATTCAGGGCAAGTCATTTACATCGATACATTGCCTGGAGCACGACTGACGTATTTGCAGAGTAGTGTATCAGCAAGAAGCTGGGTTGTGATGAGCAGACAGATTACAGTGGTTGACTGAAGATGATCTCCCATTTGCTTGCCCACCCGTGACTCAAAAGCCATTGCTCTGTGGGATGCATACATCATGCTTTTAGCTGGGTTCTGTGCCCAAATCTCTGCTTTGCCCACATACAGGGACCAGCATTTCCTTCACAATGAAGTAGTCTGGGCTGCAATCTGAAATCTTTGTGTTGCTTACAGCACCACCGGTAAGCTATGGAGAACCATTCTGCCCTATGACCGTTTTGAGTGAGGAGAGCACTTTGGCCCTCTGGTTCACTGGAAAAGGAGCATGGAGCAGCTGGGATTAGTATAGTGCTGAGGTCTGTGGGATGTACTGATAGCCACACATATACATATACATATATTGTACAAACAGACTTCAGAATTACTGCCTGCTGGGCAGAACAAGAGGAGCTAACCACCTCTAGATCCTCTTTGATTTGTGGCAACAAACAACCCCACTTTTCTTTGAAAATCAGCATAAGGTTATATTGTGTACATGAGTTGTTTTCTATCCCCTCGGTTCTCTCGGCGTCTGAGATACGTTGCACCTGCTGGAAGATGTAGAATACATCTCAGCCTCACAATAACAACTGTGCTTTGAGAACTGTCCTTAACCAGCAGAACTGGGAGGCTGGCATATGGAAGATATGGAAGATATGGAAGAAGAGGACGGGGAAAAGATCTTCTGCTCTGTGTGAGAACCAAGAATTTGGAATATATTTCAGCAAACATTAACCAATTGACCTTCCTGCTGGATATGTGCTGGGCTGTGGCCTCATTGAGAGATTCCAAATTAATCACACGCCTCTTCAAAAGGTGTCTGAGGGAGGTTTCTCTGCAGAGACTATTGATGTGCTTCCAGCTCTCTTGGACTCTCTGGTAAGTATAATGGCAGGATTTTTAACATGTTACAAAAAGGTGAAGTTTAAACACAATTTCAGCACCAGTCTGGCTAAATCTGTCTCTCAATCAATCTTGTTCCACTGCCTCCACGATCAAACCATGCACAGAAGAGCCTTAAGAACTGAAATAATGAAATCCCAAAGAAGTGCAGCTTCTAATGAAAACAACAGGGCTGATAATTAAACTTCTAGCAACAATATGAGCTGGCAGTCAACTCAGCCAGCAAATAGAGAGAGAGAGACCAAATTCTGTGCTGTCTTTGGGACTGATCAGCCTTAATGATCTTTCACCCTACCAATTAATATGGGCTGAAAGGTTCTATTCTGGCAGCAGGCAAGGCTGTTTCCAACTGGCACACTCCTCCTTTCTCCTTGGAGTTTCCCCTGGTTGATTTTTAAGAAGCCATTTGATATAAAACCCTGTGTTTGCCTCTGGGCTCCCAGCTCATTCCTATCTCATTACCTCAGTTTTGATACCCGCAAGACATTCTAATAAGAATTAATTCCCTACCTGTGAAAGCCCTAATATGCACCGCACAGTGATGTTAATGAAAAACAGTACGTGCTGTAGTATTTGATTCCCGAGCCCTTGTGATTAATTGTGACAGCAGCAATAACAGTCAAACATTTACTTTATGTCAGCTGCTGATTGACAAAATATTCATCTAATATTATTCCAGTATAGCTCATACCTTTAAATCCTCAGGTGAATTCAAATGTGGCTCCTCTAGCCAATACAATCTCTACATAATTAATTGTACCTGGGACCCATTTTTTAAGATACACCCAGCTGTATGAAAACTTGCAGAGTGTTTTTGCAGAAATGGTTATTGCATGCTCTGGGCTTCATTGTTTTGCTTAGCAGCCTAACATCACTGACTTTTATTTTTGTAACTGGCATTTGCGTAAGTTGGACTACGACTTCTGTAAGAGCTCTGCATATCCAAAGCTCTTATTATCACAAGGATCCAGTATAAAATATATTGACCTTCTGTGCTTATTAAGGTTCTTTTAACTTGCACTTTGAGCTGCTTGGAATTCATGAAGTGTTTTATCCTGACAGGATGATAAAGAGGTAGCGAGCAGAAGGGGATGAACTGAATCAACAAGAGACAAAGTGAATTACAAGTTGCCCAAACAATCAGGCCAGATAGCTGGAAATCAAGGGCAAGCTTCCCTCTGACCTGTGCTGCTTCTCTCCAAGCACTGCTTCTTCTTTCCAGCTTCTTCTGGGAAGAAATTCTTCATGTGAGTATTTTTGGATTCACCAACATAGTTTTATTAGTTTTTAGAATCCTTTTTTGGTTTTGTTTTTTTTTTCCTAGCCCTTGCAAAAAGCCTTTAGTAAAACCAGAAGCGCTTTAAGATTTCTCCTTCAATCTCATGAATCCAAGGCAGGGTCTGAGTGTGGGTAGCAGAGGCACGTCAGCTCAGTGGGTTACACTTTATGACAACTACATGTGGACGTTGTTGGACAGAGCAAACTACCGGATGAGCAAGCACAATTTCAGTTGAAATATGAAGCCTGAAAGGGTTCTGGAAATAACTATTTTCAGATAGAGGAAAGGAGGAATACTCAAAATATAAGAGGAATATGTCAGGGAAAAAAAAAAAACAACAAATAACAAAAATAAAAGCTCTTTAATTCCAGGTATTTTTTTATATTTGCGGATTTTCTAAAGCATTGTTTTCCCCTACCATTGCTGATTAAAACACTGAGCTCCACAACCACATTTACATTTTCCTTTGTCTCTGAGGACAGCCAGTTTGAGTAAGCTGCTCACAGCCAAAGCCTGAAGAATAAGAGAGGAACATGCATGCGGTGGTGGATGAAACATCTCCCTGCTCGTGTCCCCAGGCCGGCAGCTGAGGGGTTACAGGCTGGCAGCAGCTTGGCTTCACTCGAATTTGTTGAGCTCTCCACACCCCTCCAACAGCTCCAGGCTCTTGGAGTTGGGATTATAGCCATCACTGACTAGTATCATACTGAAAAAGCACTGCTTTTTATATACTCTGCAACGTCCCTGAAAGCTTAGGAACTATTGTCAGCTGAATGTATTTATATTAATGTCCAATCGCTGCACCAAATATTCTCTGTAAAGTCACCTTTCACATGTTAATGTGCTTTGGGTCATCCTGAAAGCAAGAAGGGGAAGGTTGGACAAGGACATGATATGGCGACACCAACATTGAAGTGTTCTAATTCAATTTTATTACCACACATTTAGCAATTTTTGTGCAGGTTTTTAAATTTCATCAGGCCATCTTCCTAAATTCCTGCATTCCTTTCCTTCATTTTCTTTCCCTTTCCCCTTTTCCTTTCCCTTCTTCTGTTCCTTTTCCTTCTTCTTCTCTTTCTCTGTTCTTTCTCCCTTGTCCATCTCCTTCTCCCTCTCAGTCTCCTTTTTGTTTTCCCTTTGTTCTCACTATTTCTCCCCTTCATCTTAGTCTAGTTTACATTTTTTATTTTTACTATTCTATCACTTTTTATTTCAAGAGGATACACAACACGTGATACAGTTTTGCATGCTTTTACTCCTAATGATATACACAGGCCAAGTTTTGCACCCTACAAAGTTGGGCGTATCGTTCTGGCATAATTCCACTGATATTAACGGAATTTAAACTGACATCAGACTCCAACCCTACATTTTAATGCTTGATTAGCATGGTCTCAGCTGTGAGACAATTTGTCTTTAGACTACACTAAGCCCCCATTAAATCAGAAAAAGAATGTTTCTGAGTGAGCATGCCAATCATTACGGCTTATCTAGTGAAAGATGCCACATGCTTTCTCCTGCTCTATCCTTATTTCTGACAGCTACTTATGCTTCTCATGGTCTAATTGGGCCTGCCAATCCTCCCTGCTCATCCCAATCTGTCCAGCCCAGATGCACAAGTCTGAAATGTTTTTAAAATCTGCATATGGTTGCTGATTACAAGAAATGGGAAAAAAATACAGCCTAGATGTTGTGATACGTTTCCTTCTTTGGGATTCTATTTGTGCTCAAGACAAATATAAGAACTGCAAAAATTAAAAGAAGAAATTAAAATTAAAATTAAAAGAAGAAAATGCATCTTAATACTTGGGCTGTCTGGCTCTGGGGGTGGGAAGGGTACTGCCGGCAGATGAAGGCCATATTTCCTCCTGAGGCTTGCACTCACAAAACAGCCAGGGCTAAACCCTCCCATTTGTTGCTTGCTGTGCTGTGAAAGAGGAGGTGAGAGGTATCTCAGGTAGCACCAAGTGGCAGCAGATACTGCTTGCAATGTGCTGCAGAGCCCAGCGCACAGCTTCTGGAGGATCTCATCAGGAGTGCCTGGCAGGTCAGGACCCGCTCTGTCTTCATGCAGAGAAACAAGAAGTGCCCTGTTCTTGGGAAGCCACTTGATGAACAACAGGATTCCCTCTGTGGAGCACACCTCTGCCAGCTGCTGCGGAACCTTATTGCTGCAGCTTGCCAGGAGCACGCTGGCATTTGGGCTGCAGTGTCCCAGCGAGGCTGGCAGAGCTCACACGTCCCCCTGGGACAGGAGCCAAAGCTTGGGATTCAATGGGTAAAAAAGCCCATTGATCTCAGAGCTTTGGGATCTGTCCTTTTCCTCTTCTCCTTTGAGGATTTATCCATTGCTTACATGCATATATCACTTCTGAAGCATATGGAGCACTTGGTTTTAATCTCAAATTTCCCTGGTGACGGGAGGGGAAGTGTGCTGGCAGCTGGCACTGAAAAATACTCATTATTCTGTACACTACTATCGCTTTTTACTACCCCAAGAAAGATAAAAATTGCAATAAAAATGCACAGTTTTTTTTTTTTAATCAGCCTTTGCCTGCCCTTAAAGGCACAGTAAAATATCACAACGTGCAATTTTTATGTGTGTATGGAAAAATGATGAGAAAGTATCAAAATGGGAAGTGAAAGAACAACTAAAAGACACTGTTAAGTGAACGATCCTTTTTAGAAAAAGCTCAGAAGGAGGGATTCTGATTTAGCAGGGGGCTGGATTCTCTTTTTGAACTGGAAGGTAAAAACATCTTAGATTTTCATTCCACTCCAACACCTTTTTGCTTCTTTGTTTCCACCATGGCTAGTGCAATTTTTTCAGCACTAGATGTCAGTGTGGACATACGATACCAGCCTGCTTTGCATTTTTCCATTCACAAGAGAGGAAGTAATGACATTCAGAGTGAAACTAAGCCTCCCCAGCCTCATGATGTGCTTCCTACAAAACAGGTCTCTTCTTTCCCATCTGACCTCCACAAGGAAGCCGTACAATCTCATACTGTCCTTGTTTTGGTTTTGTGTGGCTGCAAAAAGGCCCTCCTCATTTTGTGATCACATCACAATGGGTTAAAGAGGACTTTGTGACTCCAGGGGAAAAGCTTTGTTTAGGAAGGAATAGTGACAACTAAAATGTTCTGAATGATCCTGATAAATTGTGACCTTCCTAAGGAGGAGATATCCAGGTGCTCTACACGGTTAGCTAACCCTGTAACCACTGCACTCATCCCAAAGAGAACCTACCGTGAGGCTGTCTGTGCATTCCCATCACCTAGAAGAATGTTTTATCATCTAGAAATGGCTTGTTACATCAGACTGTTACAAGAACTAACTTTAACTGTTCCAGTTCTAACTTGATCCTGACATTTTCTAATTAGTGAACTGAAACCAGCTAAGAGCAGAGAAGCCTACCAGGAAGTTTGTGCTGGGCTTCCGAAGTGGTAAAGGGTGCTTTTACTTTCTACTATTGTTTATGGAACATTTTGTTTCTTCAAAAATTGTTAAATTTGGACCCTTGAATCCAAATCATGAATGTCCCCATGCTTTTACTGGAGGGTCTCCCTCACTCTGTAAGCAGCAATTGAAGACAAGGACTCGACTTCTCCTGCTTCTGGGAAAGTACATATCAGCAACAGAGAGGAAGAAGTGGCTTCACAATTCCCTTCGTTCTTCTCTTACTTTCACAGGTTCTGTCTTCTGCCAAGTGGATCAGAGCCAGCACAACAGATGGAGTCTTTTACACCACCCTCGTGCCTGCTTTACACCAGGCATGGTGCGCAGCAGCCCAGGCAGAAATGCTTCTGGCAGAGCACGGGAAGTGGAGCCCTCTGACATTCCTCCTGACTCAGTTCAGTTGCAGCCCTGATCTAGGGCTTCAGAAAAGTCCAGTTACATGCTTCTGCTGTCTTCCTTACGCACTCCTTAATAAAGCATTACTCTGATACATATACTAGTAAACCTTGCTTTTAATATACCTCGAAGTCTTTACTGTCCCTGTGACCTCAGTGCAAGGAGTCACCAAAATGCATGCAGGACTGCCGAAGCAGCTGGGCTCAAAAGCCCTTTGAGGAGCTACCTGGTATGTTCTTGTTTTTCATTGTTAGGCTTATCAGCAGCAGGTTGTAAATAGAAGGATACGAAAGATTAAAAGAACAATACTTCTCTGATTTAAAACTATCAATTGAAAATACTATCTGTGCAAAAATGAGGAAAAAAGATTTTTTTTCTCCTGGATTCTGAAAGATTAAGGTAATATTTGGCAGACAATACAGAACCTGAAAGAATACAAATGGTATTCGGCAAATCTAATGTCACATGGCTCTACTGCCTGCTCTCATTGCTACATATTTTGTTTTGTTAATGTTTCTGTAATTTCCATTTACTCACCTCTGTCTGTAGATGCCTACCATTCAAGCAATTAGCACTGCCAGTGAAAGATGTATCCTGTAAAAAAGCTTGTCGGCCATCAGCCTCTGAAGACTGATTTACCTGTGTAATATCCACAATGTCAGGACTCAGAGTGCTTTCTTTATTAGCCATTATGAATTGTTCAGACAGAGCTTTCTGTAAAGCCAAATGCTTCTCTAGGTGCAGAAGGGATTCATGGTCTGGCACTCTGAACTGCAAGACGAGGCAATGTGATTCAGGAATATACTCTGAAAGACGCCTATTATTTCCCTCTGCAGAAATAAAGAGGACTGAAGCCATCAACAGTCCTCCCCCAACTCCCAAATCCACATTCAGCTGGCATTTCTGGGCACTGATATACGAGAGCTGAAAACAAGAGAGAGTAAACATACTTCCCATCTGTTAGTTTGTCCTCCACCCCCTCTCCTTAGAAATCGCAGAAACAGAAGAATCAGCTGGATGGAACCTTTACAGGTCAACTTATCCACCCCCACATTCCCACACCCACAGATCTGTGTATTAACACCCAAATAAACATAGATTGATGTCAGCTCATTTATGAATCAGTGCAAGTGCACGGGCACTGCCTAAGTCAATTTGTCTTCAGTTATTCCTTGAGCACACAACAAAATGGTCTGCACTGCAGCTTCTGAAGAAAGATAGCACAAGGGGGTGTAGGTGCACAAAAGGTTTGGAAGCATTTGATGTAGGTTACATGCAAAGCTCATAAAAAAACCCCACCAAACTAACAAGGAGAACTGATGCAGTTTATTACAGAACCAGTAACTAGCCTGATGATGTACTCAAATGGAGTTCAAATGGAATAATTCCAAGTCTGTTCAGCCTGGAGAGGGCTACGGAGTGACCTCATTGTAGCCTTCCAGTACCTAAAGGGAACCTACAAACAGGAGGGGAATCAACTCTTTAGGGCAAGGGGAAATGGTTTTAAGTTGAGGGAGGGAAGATTTAGGTTGGATATCAGGGAGAGTTTCTTTACCAAGAGAGTGGTGAGGTGCTGGAACAGGCTGCCCAGAGAAGCTGTGGATGCTCCGTGTCCCTGGAGGCGTTCAAAGCCAGGTCGGATGGGGCCCTGGGCAGCCTGGTCTAGTATTAAATGGGAAGGTTGGTGGCCCTGCATGTGGCAGGGGGGTTGGAGATTCATGATCCTTGAGGTCCTTTCCAACTCAAACCATTCTATGATTCTATGATTCTATGAAATGGCAAGTTCTTAAGAATGGCATCTCATATTAGGTATAGTTACTATGGTACACTGTGGCTACAATAATACAACCCTGTAGAGTGGCCTAGAAATTATTATGGAGAATACATTTTCTAATAAAATTATTAGACTGAAGTGTATATCTTATCGTGCTACTTCAGAGCACATAGTAATGGAATGCACAGCACAAATTGCCATTTCTTCAAGTAAATTATTTCCACATCTTCTTCTTGTGTAAATAGTCAATTGGTATGTCAAGTCAAAGTCAATTTATTTTTAAGACTAAGTAAGTTATCTTTCCTGTGAACATTAGCTTTCTGCATGGGTAACTTGTGTGTACAAAATACAGCATATTGTTTACAGTGTGATAGAAACTTCAGAAAAGCATAAACTTCAAACACGAGGCAGAAGGTTTTAAACAGAATCTTCCTAAAACAAGGACAAACTTCCTCACAGTAAAAACGTAAGTAACCACACATTTCCAGCATAACTTTAGGACCCAAACCTTAGAAGACTTTCAGAGCTGCTGAGTTTTTTAATCCATGAAGACTCATCACAGCATAGAGCAGGACTGTTTTTGCTGCGTTGGTATAAGTAGATGCATAGATTTTCACAGGAGTAAAGTCAACATGAGCAAAGTGTTATTCAATGCAAGTGAAATTCTAAGATATTGGATAACAAGGTCTTCTACATCTCTCAGCATACCAGCTGGTTTACACTGCTATCAAAATGCTTCACAAAAAGATGCCTGCCATAGGTTTATGTGTAATTCACGGTCATGTGGACAGGGTAAATGAGACCTGTTTCATTTAGCATACAGATGTGAACATATCTGAGGAGAGTGTGGTCTGCCAGATGGCTAAAACTACCTGCAGATTCAAGGCTTGTGTACTTTACACAAGTCTTAATTTAAAGGGATAAAATACTTCTGTTTTGCTTCCTCTATGACCAACCAAACACTTCAACAGTTTCTGTTTTCAGTATCTGTGGGGAGCCGCTGTGTGGTTGAGTTTATTTTAAAGACCTGAAATATACAACAACGTAAAAACATCATTGTTCTTTCCCAACCACAGTGTGCACTCCTAGTTTGGTATCTGATCAGAAAATCCCCAAGCCCGATTAGAAGCCTACCTTAGCTATTGGAAAATTAACTGTGTGCTATGAGTTTATACAGTGTTTTTACAACTCTTCTTTAGAAATGAGTACGTGGTCAGTTCTGAATAGAATTTTAATCTCTAGCTGGCCTCTTTAGTGCAGAGTCAGATGCTTTTGCCAGAGATGAAATCTTGCTTGAGACCACACTGAAATAACAGAATTATAGAATCATAAACTTTGGAAAAGACCACCTAGTGCAACTACTGACCCATCCCCTTTATGCCTAGTAACCCATGTCCCCCAGTGCCACATCTCCACATACCTTAATCTCCCTGTAAAAGACACTGAAGAGAATAGGAGGGCAGAAGGAGTATAACTCATCAGTATAGCTCACTGATCAAAATTGAGACCAGTGTTCCAAATATTTATCAGCACACATTTTCCAAGATGTGCAATAGTACGCATTCTTAGCTAGTTTTGGTGAAAAAGCAAGCTTATTGCTTTCACTTGCTGATAGACAAGGTAGTGTTACTACAGCTAAAATGGAGGCACGGGCACACAGTTAATAACAAAGAATAGCAAGTGCATGTGCCTGTCTAAATCAGTTTTTTTCTACTCTCCTGGAACAAGAAGGTTAGTTTCTACTTCATGCTTATTTAATTACGAATAAGATTCTTTAGATATGTTTCTACAAGAATAATAACAGCATTCATCCACGTAGGCCTACAGAAGTTAATTTTTATGTAACTGTGTACTTTCCACTGAGTCCTTGAAATCTGTGGAAATTTGGTCAGCAGCAACACGTTCTACTTTCTCTCTACACTGTCTCCTCTTGCCAATGATTATTTTCTGCACTGGGTAGGAAATTGAAATTTTTATGCAAACTACTTCTGGAACATATTAATAAACAAATGGGTAGAAAGTACAGTGCCAGGTACTTGCCTCTACAAGACTTAATGCTTGCAGATAGTCATTCTTTAGAAGAAATGTTAGCTTGAAAACCCAACTTTACTATTGGATATACAGAGCAAATTTCTGTATGTATTGAAAATTCTATTCGACCATTAATAAGAATGAACAGAAAAGATGGAGAAGAGAAAGCTGGCTCAGAGGCATGTCACACTGCTCTTCTGAAGATGTAGGTGTTCTCTGAGGTATGCGTCCTGTTTAGATTCACATGTGATAGTGAGATCTGCAAACATTACACTCAAACACACCAGGTGCAAAGCAAAAACAGAAGCCAAAGGAAAATAACATCTCACTGGGAATATCCATACTTTCTGAGAAGGAGGCAGGGGCTGTTCTGCTGCTGTCTGCAGCTGAGTCCTTTTCCGTGAGATACTTGATGCTGTTAGAGTTAATTTTCTGACTGTACCGTTGAATAACTCCTCAGATATCTTCAGGCCTTTTTTCCCCATTGGGTTTACTATTTAATTTTAAATTGAATAAAAGGTTATTCATAACCAAATAGGATCCATTTAATACCTGCTCAACTCATAGGATCACCATAAGGAAAATACAAATGGCAGCGTGGTACTTACAGCAATGCAGTACTTTAAAATGCTGTTTATTCTAACAGCCAGCCAGCTCCACTTGTACTCACTGGTGGAGATGCTAAGAATGCACTAACAGCTCCTAGCACACTGGCCTCTAACAGGGTGAAACAGGCAACGAGCGTTCTGCAGGCAGCAGAAATTATGAGTCATGTCTGCAACATCCTTTGCCCATGTGAATTCTTGGAATCAGGCAAAAGAGGAATTCCTATGGCAGCTTTTCCTTCTGTGGGAACATTAAGGGGATCTCTGCCTTCTACTGTTGAAATCTCTGAGATTTTACCTCCTCCACCATTCAAGCAGCTAGGTCTTCTTGCACACCAAACTGTGGGCTGCACTGTGTGAGAAAGCATCTGGGGAGAGGCTTGGAGGGGAGGCCTCCACATCTGTTCACCTCTGAAAATGGGTATTCTCGGACACACTAAAGCAAGACTTTGTATGTGAATTCAAGTATTGATCTGTTTTGCTGTATTAATCATAAAATTGTCTGAGGACTGTGCCACAGGCAGGAGTGCAGCTGGAGCCCAGCCCTGAGATGGCACACAGCACTGCCTGATGGCCACATGCCATGCGTGACAGCAGGCGGTAATCCACGGAACAAGCCGTCACCTTGTGTGGCTGACTGTAGGAATCACGTTTGCGTACATTCAGACTGTAAAACATTCAACATCGTGTACCGTTAAAGAACTAAGTATTTCTGCCCTTGACTTGTTTCACTTTGAGCAAACAGAGCCTGTTAGCCACGCAGGTACAACTCACAGGACCGGAATTTGCGGGCAGTCCTTATTCGTGTACAGCACTCAGCAACTGGGGTGCTCCTTCGAGCGAGGAAAGCGTCCACTACCCGCTCCGGCCCCCAGCCGGCCGCAGGGCTGCACCACCCCGGCCACATCGCCGCTCCGAGGGGCCACCGACCTCTGGGAGCCGCGTCAGGACAGCCTACCCCGCGCACGCCGAGACACAAACACAGACACACTTGGCGGCCGCACGTTTTATTACAACCACCGCGGCACGACGCGGGTCACACGGAGAGCCGCAGCTCGCCTCCCCGCGGGCACCGCCGCCAACGGCCGCCCCTAACGGCCGCCGCACCGGCAGGAGCTTTAACCCCTTTTCCTCCCTGGCGGCCGCGCTCAAGGAGCGCCCTCCGTTCCGACAGAGGTCCCGCCTCAGCCCCGCGAGGGGACTCCGCGCAGACGACCCCCGCGGCCGGCCTCGCCCTCAGCGCCGCCTCGCACCTCGCGTGAGGAGAGGGGCGGGCCGCTCCGCTCCAGGGGCCAACACCCCGTCGCGCAGGGGGAAGGAAGGCGAGGCGGCACGGCACCCGCCGCCAGCTCCCCGCACGGGGCCGCCCCCAGTATGGCGACAGCGTAGAGGAGCGGCTGCGCCGCCGTGCCCGCCCCTTCCCGCCTCCCTCGGCATAGCGCGGCGCGCCGCGGGCGAGCGAGCGGCTTCGGCGGGCGGCTGCCGCCGGTGCCCCACAGAGCGCGGCGCGGCGGGATGGCGGCAGCGGGGCCGAGCGGCGGCGCGGCGGCAGGCGGCAGCGTGCCGAGCGGCTCACGGCGGCGCCCCGCACCCGCCGGCAGCGGCCGCGCCGGGACCGCCAGCTGAGCCGGATCGCGGCGGGCGGCTCTCTCCTCTCGGCACCGACGCACCGAGCGACGCGTTCCCGTGCCCGGCGCC